AAAGAGGTAAAGTTGCTTCCTTTTCTCAAGGCAAAAAGAGAGATGCAAATGGAAGTGTGCAGGGCTCAATTTCCAGGCTGAGCCTTCTCCTGCTCTCTACCTCAGCTATTCTCTCCTCCAGTCTGAGCTCCCCTCACACAGACCCTTAGGGCTCTACCCTGAGAGGCAGCTCAGACCTGGTATTCCCAGATGGTTGGCACTGGATGAGTGAGTCCCACATTCCCTAAATGACCTTGAGTCTCCCTCCAGGAGGCTGCATTTGGATTACCTGGGATGAGCCACTGATTCATCACCTTCCCTCTAGACTCAAAACACTTCCTTGGCACTACAGCAGACCCTTAAATCAGTGCCAGATATCCTGACTGGGTGGGGAAGCCTGGAAACAAGAGACCAACATGAAAGCCAACAAATACATCCCAGAGCTGATCCTAGGGAATGGTTCCAGCTCAAAGTGAAGCACATGGGACTTGTGTTCTCACTGACACCAGCACAGAGCAGCTGGACACGAGCCAGCCAGGAACACTCACCTGTGATTTTCCTCAGCAGTGTCTCCCTTTTCCTGACAGATAAGAGGATCTATCGACTCCCAGTGTTCACAGAGGAGTTCTGCCAGACCTTTGTGGATGAGCTGGAGAACTTTGAGCAGTCTGATATGCCTAAAGGCAGGCCCAACACTATGAATAACTATGGGGTAGGACTCAACTCTTGTGCTTCTTTAGGGGGAGTGTTCACTCTATTCACCTCCTCACTTCTCACTCCTTTCACTTCCAAAGTGTCTAATTTTACACAGTGCAGTTTGAATACTCCCTTGGAGTGAAAGGGTTGAGGGAATGTTACACAGACAAAAGACATGGGAATGCAGGGAAAGGGGATGGGAGTTGGTATCTCAGAGCAAAGAGCACCTTGATTTAAGCAATACACATTTAAATCAAGGAGTCAGTTTTTGAAGAACACTCAGCTTTTGATCTTACTCTGCCTTTTCCCCATCATTTTCCACCTTGATCCTCCTCCTTTTTCCTGTAGCTGGAGCCTTTGCTCTCGAGTTCTTCATCTGAGCCAGCAGCAGGGCTGGATGAAGATGACAGCTCTGCAGCAGCTCTGGTGAGCAGCAGATAGTTGCTCAGCTGTTCCCACCTCCTCTCTTTGCTACAGGTGTTGCTGAATGAGCTTGGGATGGATGAAACCTTCCTCACTCCCCTGCGTGAGCAATACTTGCAGCCCATCACAGCCCTGCTCTACCCTGACCTGGGGGGAGCCTGTCTGGACAGCCACAAAGCATTTGTGGTCAAATACTCCCTGAATGAAGATCTGGATCTCAGCTCTCACTATGACAATGCAGAAGTCACCTTAAATGTTTCACTGGGAAAAGACTTCACAGAAGGCAACTTGTACTTTGGGGAGTTTAACCAGGTGCTGAGCATGTTCCTAATCTGGACTCTGATTCCATTCCCCTCTAGTTTCAAAGCATCAACTGTGTTCTAAAACACAATTATTCACTCTTAACAGTCAAACCTGCTCTGTCCTTTCCTCCTTTTTTACATGTCTTGGTTATACAGGAGACTTTTCTGCTACAATATTTCAATAACCAATACCAATATTCGAGTTTTGAAGGGCGCACAGAGGCAGCTTCATAGTAGAAACTGAAGTGAAAGAAATTAATCTGGAATGAAACAAACTAACCATTTTTCTGCAGCTGAAACAGTGAGCAAGGAAGTACTGGGAGAGATTTCTTTCAGATGAAACCTAAGCCTAGGTCTATAGTCCCTGTTTGTAGGACTCTCCTGGCAAGAGAGGGGTAGAAGCTCCCATACCTCAGTGAAACAGGTTTATTTTTGATTGAAACTCTCTTTAAATTCCCTCTGGACTTGGCACTGGGAATGTCTTACTGGAAAACAGTTGTACTAATCTGCTGCCAAGCCACCACTCAAGTGCTGCATTTCAGAGGTGCAGTGAGTCCTCTCTATATTGTTCCCTGGGTGCTGTAGGGGAAGAGGTGACAAGTTTCAGCTCTTTGAGTGTTTTCTGCCAGGGACTTTGTGATGTAACACTGAATCCACCTCCTTTTATTGCAGGATCCCACTCCTGTGCCGAAGTACATAGAGGTGGAACACGTGGGAGCTCAGGGGCTGCTACACCGAGGAGGACAGATCCATGGGGCACTTCCCATTGCCTCTGGGGAACGCTGGAACCTCATCATCTGGATGAGATCATCTTCCATCCGCAACCAGCTCTGCCCCATGTGCAACAAGAAGCCTGAGCTGGTGGAAGCAGAGGGGTTTGGGGATGGGTTCACAGAGAGCCTTGAGGAGGATGAGCCTGAGACTGTGAATGTCTGTGCCTTGTGGTAGCAGAGGGTAGAGACTGATTTCTCCAGACCAAGTTGCCTAAAGCTTCTTTTCTGCCCTCTCAGACTGCACTAATGGACTTGCAGGATGACTAATGAGTCCTGCAAGAAGTCACTCTTACCTTGGAAAGGGATGCAAAACCAATCGTGCTGGGGTTAGGGGAGCTTGGGCAGCTGGAAGAGCTGAAACTCAGCTCATCACACTCAGGCTGGAGGACTGTTTGTAAGTCACAGAAATCCCCAACACTTGGATGCACTGCAGAGGCTCTGTAAATAGCTTCAGGTGAACAGGGAACACACCCAAAGCTTCCTGACCTCTGTGCCAACAGCAGCATTCCAGGTCCTGCTGTAAATGGGAAAGAATGATACAATAAACCACTGCTCTGCTGTTCTCAGAGCCTCCTGTCCTCTTTCAGAGGCAGGGGAAAAAGAGCTTTTTGTTGCTGAGTGAGAGAGAAGGATCTGCTCAAAATGAGATACAGGTGATTCACATCAGGCTGCTAGGAATGGTGTGGAATTACTGTCACTGGAGACTGGCCTAACCCAGGCTCAGAAATATCCACCAGGAACAATACAGGGAGAGCTGATCCCTCAGGGAGGCTGAGAGAATCTCCCAAGGCTGTTTTGAGCAGAAATTTCCCTTTCAAAGATTCTGTGAACCTTATTAAGCAGAAACAGCTATAGAGACAGAGCTCCTGGAGGCACCTCCAGCACAGCTAAACTTCCCAGGGGAAGGTTCAAAGATTCTGTGAACCTTATTAAGCACAAACAGCTGTAGAGACAAAGCTCCTGGAGACACCTCCAGCACAGCTAAACTTCCAGGGGAAGGCAAGATGTACATTTAACTCCCTTTGCTTTAGTTATGTGCACAAGTCAAGACATAAAATAATTCTCCCAACCAGAGTGCAGACCTGAAACTCCTTTAGGCACCAAGATCTGATGGATTAGAAGAGTCAAGTGCTTTCCCTATGTTACTTCCAGCTGGCTGAAAGCACAGACTCTCCCACTTACAGAACAAATAAAAGCAGCCAAATATCTGTTGATTTGGTGTCTGCACTTGCTTCTATGGTAAATTAATTGTATGTATTAGATACTTACACAGGCTGCTGCATTTATAAGAGGCTTTTCCACTCATTTACTCCCTGCAGTAATTACAGCACATAGATAATTGTGAAAGGCCCAATGTGAGTGGGCACAGCTCGCTCAGAAGGTGTTCATTGAAGCACTCCCAACAGACTCACTGGATTTGTGGCTGGGAATGCCACGAGCACATGGCACTGATGAGCTTCTCATTAGAATCATAGAATCAGCCAGGTTGGAAGAGACCTCCAAGATCAAGTCCAACCCTACCGTGGTCACTAGCCCATGGCACTAAGTGCCACATCCAGTCTCAGCTTGAAAACCTCCAGGGATGGTGAATCCACCACCTCCCTGGGCAGCACATTCCAATGCCTGAGCACTCTCTCTGTAAAAAATCTCTTCCTAATATCCATCCTAACCCTCCCCTGGCAGAGCTTGAGTCTGTGCCCTCTTATCCTACTGCTAGATGCCTTCGAGAAGAAACCTCCTGCTTTCCTTCCCCGGTTTTAATTAGGAAAGCCAATTAAAACCGGGGAAGGAAAGCAGGGGTTATAGCCGATCTCGTATCAAGAAACTAAATCACATTTATCTCCTTCAGCAGCAAACGCGAGCGCTGA